TTGGGCCGGGCTTGGTGGCTCACGCCTGTAATCCCAACACTTTGGAATGCCGAGGCAGGGAGACTGCTTGACACCAGGAGATTGAGATCAGTCTGGGCAATAAACCAAGACCCTGTCTCTACAAAAAAAATTTTTTAATTGGCCCCGTGTAGTAGCATGCACCTGCAGTCCCAGCTACTCAGGAGACTAAAGCAAGCAGATCATTCAAACCCAAGAGTTTGAGGCTTCAGTGAGCTATGATCACACCACTGCACTCCAGCCTAGGTGACAGAATGAGACCCTAGCTCTAGGGGGAAAAAATTGGCGTTGATGGATTATCCTAAGAGGTAGATCTGTGGTGTAAAGCTCAAATAATACACTTTTTAGTCTGCTCTTTCAGAAATGACAGGAAATTCCAGAGGCCAGGAAGTCTATGGTATTTATACCTTAATATAACAATTAATTTTAGTGTATTTCACTGCCCACATTCATTCTCTCTGCAAAGAGGAGCCGCTCTTGCTGCATGCTGCTGGATGGCTTTAAAAGGTTGTTCTCTTTCTCACTCCTCTGTAACCTAACACTCAGGTGCTGACACCCAAGATCTTTTGCTAGACAGTGGAAGTCAGCTGTTTAGAACTCAAGCTACATGTCAATCTTCAATCTCTGGGCCTTCCTCTAAACAAGCCTATTGTGCGGTAATGGCAAAACCCAGAGGTCAGCTCAGCAGATGGAATTACACATGGAATACGAACTCTGATGAGGCACTCCAAGAGAACATATCACTGCCACTCATTCTACTTTTATTTATTTATTGAGACAGGTTCTTGCTCTGTTGCTGAGGCTGCAGTGATCATAGCTTATTGAAGCCTTCACCTCTTGGGCTCAAACGATCCTCCCACCTCAGCCTCCTAAGTAACTGGGACTAGTGGCATGCACCACCATGCCTGGCTATTTTTTTAATTCTATATTTTGTAGAGATGAGGGTCTTGCTATGTTGCCCAAGCTGGTCTTCAACTTCTAGGCTCAAGAGATCCACCGGCCTTGGCCTTCTGAGCAGCTGGGACTATAGGCATGAGCCACTGCACTGGCCTAATTCCACTTTTAGATATCTATCAATATTTCAGAAATCGCACTTGAAGATCTACACAGTGGACTCACAAACAGGATGTGGGCAGAGTTCCTGAGTACACCTGACCTGACTAGAAAAAATGGCAGAGTGGCTCAGGCTCTGGAGCCAGACTGCCGGGTTCCAATCCTGATCCCTTACAGGCTGTGCAGTCTTTATTTAAACTCTCTGTGCCTCATGTTCTTCACCAGTCGGATGAAGACCTTCCACATTATGATGTGAGGACAGAAAGAGATAACACAGATGAAAAGCTTAGATCAGCCCTGGCAAAAATTAGATGTTCAAATGTTAGCCATTACTACTATTATCAAATAACCTGCGGGGAAAAGAAAAGAGAAACATGCTGCATTTATTCTCTATACTACATTTCTATGTAGCTATATAAAGTTCTCTGATTTGCTTTCCTAATATAAAACTGTCTTTTATTTTTAATTTTTTAGACTTAAAAAAATTTTACTCCTTATAAAACCATAAAATTGTGTCTTTTTAAGACATTCGCCAGGCATGGTGGCTGACACCTGTAATCCCAACACTTTGGGAGGCCAAGGTGGGTGGATCACCTGAGATCAAGAATTCAAGACCAGCCTGCCCAACATGGTGAAACCCCATCTCACTTGATCTTAGCCAAACGGCCGAGAAGTGATGTGAAACCCCATCTCTACTAAAAAAATATAAAAATAGCTGGGCATGGTGGCAGGCACCTGTAATCCCAGCTACTCAGGAGGCTGAGACAGGAGAATCACTTGAGCCTGACAGACTGAGGTTGCAGTGAGCTGAGATCACACCGCTGCACTCCAGCCTGGGTGACACAGTGAGACTCTGTCTCAAAAAAGAAAATTTTTTTTCATTTGCTCGGTGCAACATTAAGCATACTTGATTACTACATAAAGGCAACAACAAAAACTCCAATGCTGATGTTCCTTTTTTAAAAAATGGCATTTATTTGTTGATTGATTAAGATGGAGGAGTCTTGCTGTTGCTCAAACTGGACTCGAACTCTCCTGGGCTCAGGTGATCCTCCCATTTCAGCTTCAGCCTCCACTGTGCCCAGCTTGATCTTCTTTGGAAAAAAGCCCCAACTTTGGCCAGGCACAGTGGCTCACGCCTGTAATCTCAGCACTCTGGGAAGCTGAAGTGGGTGGATCACGAGGTCAGGAGATGGAGACCATCTTGGCCAACATGGTGAAACCCCGTCTCTACTAAAAATACAAAAATTAGCCAGGTGTGGTGGTGCGTGCCTGTAATCCCAGCTACTCAGGAGGCTGAGGCAAAAGAATCGCTTTAACCCGGGAGGCAAAGTTTGCAGTGAGCTGAGATTGCACCCATTGCACTCCAACCTGGGCAACAGAGCGAGACTCTGTCTAAAAAAAAAAAAAAAAAGCCTCAACTTTAAGGTCAAGGCCGCTACCTAGCATTTCACGCAGCATTCAGTTATTCATAGGTTGCTACAGGCAAACTTGGGAGAAGTTTGCCAGCCAGCATAAACTTCAAGTTGAACCTAACGCAACATTTACTTCAAGCTTGTCCAACCTGCGGCCTGAGGGTAGATGGCTTTTAATGTGCCCCGACACAATTCATAAACTTTCTTAAAACAGTATAAGATTTTTCTTGAGTTTTTTTTTTGTTTGTTTTTTGTTTGCAACTCATCAGCTATCGTTACTGCTAATGTATTTTGTGTGTGGCCCAATGTGACAATTCTTCTTCCAATGTGGCCCAGGGAACCCAAAAGATTGGACATCCCTGATTTACTTATTTTTATATCATCTTTATGGATTGAAAAGGCTGAAAAAATTTTTAAAAATATATCAACTATTTTTACATCAGATGAAAGGCAAAAAGACAGAAACAGATGCAAACATCAAGTCCATGCTATTAATAGAAGAAATGGCTACTCTCGACGCACAAGCTGACTCCCTGGTGAGTGAGCATATATTTTTATTGGCTCTATTGGAAAAAAAAGAAATATCTCTGTACTCTAATTACCAAGGCAGTAGTAACAAAATCAAAGCGTAGACACTTGATAAGTATTAGCTGGCATAATTTAATTTGAAGCAGACAAGATTTGGTATTTTGAAAAGTGTGCTACTGGACTAAAAATTAGCAGAGGAATCACTTCAGACAGAAAGGAAGAGAACAATGAAAACCAGCAAAACAATTATTTTTATGTTAAAGCTCAAGATAGAAGACCATCATCAGACCAATCTTCCTAGAAAAGCAGTTTCTCCAGGTCACTCACCTATCTAAAAATCTTAAATATTCCTCATAGTCTACAGGAGAGAGTAAAAAACCTATCAAGGTAACAGAGCTGCCAACTACCTTTCTATTATTATTTTTTTTTTTTTGAAACAGAGTCTTACTCTATCCCTTAGGCTGGAGTGCAGTAGGGAAACCCTGGCTCACTGCAGCCTCCATCTTCTGGTTTCAAGTGATTTTCCCACCTCAGCCTCTGGAGTAGCTGGGATTACAGCAGGTGCCACCACGACCAGCTAATTTTTGTGTTTTTAGCAGAGATGAGGTTAGGGCCAGGCTGGTGTCGAACTCCCAACCTTGGGCCTCCCAAAGTGCTGGGATTACACGAGTGAGCCACCACACCTGGCCTACCTTCCAATTGGGCCAGACTGGTTTCCTTATTTGTTGCAGGCAAGAACAAACCATGCTCATTTCAGCTCTGTATCCACAGTGCCTATCTCGGTACCTGACACACAGTAGTTGCTCAGTAAATGTTTGTTAATTCAACAACTTGAATGCTCTGAGGCCTGTGCTCTCGGTGCTGCACTCCTGGAAAGGCCTCATCCAACCCACCATCCTTCGACGGCCAGCTCAACTCCCTGCACTCTTCCCAGCATAACACTGAAGCAACCTGCCCTCGCCATTGCCTTCTCCCACTCTCAATTCCCACCGAATCCAATCACTTCTGATCTTTATTGTTATTTAAACATTTCCTGTTTCTGTGTTTTGTCTGCTCCACCAAACTGGGAGCTTCTTGAGGAAGGCAGAATTTTCAAAGCAGTGAGGAGCACTGGAAGGATTATTGATCTGTGACCAGGCAAACCTAGTTACGTGACTTGGAGAAAAATGTATATAAAACCCTTCGAACAATGCTTAGAACACAGAGTGCACTTCATAAATGTTGGCTACTATCGTCATTCATCTCCCGGAACACCTCAGTTCTCTCACTTATAAAATGGAGTGATGAGTTCTACGTCAAGTGGTCTTCATATGGAACAGGAGTCTCTAGGACCTTCCTAACACACAGCAGCCACTCAATAGCCAGCTGGCAATTATTATTACAAAGACTCCTGCTGGGTGCAAAGAAGGTGCTTAATAGAAGTTTATGGGATGAGCTGAAGGAACAAGTGAGAAAAATGTATTCCCATATCAATTCATTTATCAACAGAAACACTTTCAGTCATTCAACAAACATTTATTAAGGGCTTATCATTACGTGCCAGGCTTTGTTCTAGGTTTGGGATAATACAGTAAAAACAGTCCTTGTCTTATGAAACTTACATTCTAAAGGGGAGGCAAACAATAAGCAGAGAAAGACAAATCAGTAAAAGTTTGGTGTTAAGTGCTATGAAGAAGAAGGAAAAAAGGTAAGCCCTTGGAAAAGGGCTGCCTGAAGATATGGCATTTAGGCAGAGATCTGGATCCTCAAGAAAGCTTGATTTTGTGAGACTCATCCTTACCCTCACAAGACTCCAGGAGTTCTTCCACTCCTCTAGCACCAAGACCCTGGACAACCAAGGAGGCTGCAGTTTGACTTCTAGTGCCTCTCTCTCAACACAGACCAAGTTACAAACTGCTGAATGAGCAACTGCAAACTCATTTTTTGTTATACTTTTTGAATTGGCAACTTAAGCTCCAAGAGGGAGTAAACTGATTACAGCCATACCGCAACTGGTCTGTTCCCCAGAAAGTTCAGATCACTGTTCTCTCCAAACAGGTAACCTTCAGGATGAGTTGAGTCAAACTTCTCTCCTCCCATAATGAAGTGGCTGGCAAAATAGCTTCCTAGAGAGAAACAAACAGAAAAAAAATCAAACAACCAGAAAACAGTCAAACTATATGTAGTAAAAAAGCTGATTTTTTAAAATGTTAAGCCTTTGGGCTGTATGTGGTGGCTCACACCTGTAATGTGACTAGGTTCGGAGAGCTTCCAAACAGGGGAATACTTGGAGGTTTCTCAATACTTTGGGAGGCTGAGGCAGGCAGATCACCTGACGTCAGAAGTTTGAGACCAGGCTGGCCAACATAGCAAAACCCTGTCTCTACTGAAAATGGAAAAATTAGCCGGGTGTGGTGGCATGTGCCTGTAGTCCCAGCTACTCAGGAGGCTGAGGTAGGAGGATCTCTTGAACCCAGGAGATGGAGGTGCAGTTAGCTGAGATCCTGCCACTGCACTCCAGTCTGCGCAACAGAGCAAGACACTGTTTCAAAAAAACCAAAAAAGTTAACCCTTCGAATGAATAATTAGAGCAATTTCTAATCCCAAAAGTGTTTTCTTTTCCTGATTTGGGACAATGGCACAAAATAAGTAAAATCATAGCAGGGAAAACCCAAGATACCAAACATAGAATAGATCACTGTTTTCCTTTTAACATTCTTAATTGAATTCTTCTCATGATCTGCCTAAAATACCTCCAGCCAAAAGACCAAAAGGTCCTACAATGCACATTAATGATCATATATATATTTTTGTTCCTGATTTTTGCCCTTAAATTTGAAATAGTTATTCCATGTATTGAAGAATCTTAGCTACAGGCATCAGCATATATATATATATATATATATATATATATATATATACACATACTAAGATATTATAAAATACATGTTTAATTTTCAATCCATTTCCTGGAATGCAACTCTTAAAATTCTTGGAACATCTAGGCCAGGCATGGTGGTGGCTCACGCCTATAATCCCAGCACTTTGGGAGGCCAAGGGAGACAGATCACTTGGGATCAGGAGTTAGGGACCAGCCTGGCCAACATGGCAAAACCCTTTCTCTACTAAAAATACAAAAATTAGCCAGGTGTGGTGACACATGCCTGTAGCCCCAGATACTTGGGAGGTTGAGGCAGGAGAATTGCTTACACCCGGGAGGCAGAGGTTGCAGTGAGCTGAGATCACGCCACTACACCCCAACCTAGGCAACAGAGAGACTCCCATCTGAAAAAAAAAAAAATTTAAAATCCTTGGAATATCCAAAGTGATGTCAGTTTTTGTTTTTGTTTTTTTGAGACAGAGTCTCTCTCTGTTGCCCAGGCTGGAGTATAGTGGCGTGATCTCGGCTCACTGCAACCTCCACCTCCCAGGTTCAAGCTATTCTCCTGCTTCAGCCTCCCAAGTAGCTGGGATTATAGGCACCCGCTACCATGCCTGGCTAATTTTTGTATCTTTAGTAGAGATGGGGTTTCACCATGTTGGCCAGGCTGGTCTTGAACTCCTGACCTTGGGTGATCCACCCACCTTGGCCTTCCAAAGTGCTGGGATTACAGGTGTGAGCCACCTCACCAGCCAAAGTGATGTCGTTACATATGCTAATGAATTAACAAGTGGCTGGCAGCCCCTAGGTAGCCTCAGGATGGCGGCTGGTCACTGGAAAGAACATGGCAGGATTAGAAGGTTAGGACTTTCAGCCTATCCCCCAACCACCGAGGAAGGGAAGAGGGGCTGAAAGTTATCACCAACGTCCAATGATGTAATCAACCATGCTATGTAATGAAGCTTCCATAAATATCCAAAGGACTGGGTTCAGAGAGCTTCCAAACAGGGGAATACTTGGAGGTTTCTAGAGGGTGGCAAGCCCAGAGATGGCATGGAAGCTCTGTGCCTCTTCCCACATAACCTTGGCCTATGTTTCTCTCTCTGTATCCTTTGCAATAACCTTGATAATAAACTGGTAAATGTGTTTCCCTAGTTCTGTGAGCCTCTCTAGCAAGTTAATCAAACCCAAGGAGGGGGTTATAGGAACCTGCTTTCTGGTTGGTTAGCTGGAAGCACAGGCAAAACAGCCTGGGGCTTGCAATGAGCATCAGAAGTCGGGGGCAGTCTTGTGGGACTACACCCTCAACCTGTGGGATCGGACGTTATCTTCAGGTAGTTATCAGAACTGAAATGAATTGGAGGACACACAGCTGGTGTCCTCTGCAGAACCGAGTCATTGCTGGTGGGAAGAATCCCCACACATTTTGCTGACCAGAGGATACAGAAGGTTTCTGTGCTGCTTGTGTTGTAAGAGTACAGGAGAAACTGAGTTTTTTCCTATATCTGCAGATACATTTACTTGCCTAGATTTTCATAACCCAGCTTAGAGCTACACACAGAAATCTTGGTATCCACCTACCACTACTTCTATACCTCTATAATCTTCTATGATGAAGGTTCTTCTTCATCATAACTTGCTTCGAAACATGATTGTCTCAGAGGAAAATATGAATTTAAATAATACACCTATCCCTGGCTTTCCCTACCAATTACCACACAGACTATGGTATAAAATAAGAGGACAATTTAATGCTATGAAAGAAGGCTACACATATATCCTCTCCACCTCAAATTTATTAACAGTGCTAATGGCCAGAGCTCCTGGGATGCTGGGACATCAGTCATGGCAGGGCCCCTTTGTCCCTTCTTAATCAACCAGGAGGCAGAAATATTTTCCATACAATATAATAACCAAATGAAATTAGCAGTCAGGGCCAAAATTCCCATCAGCCTCATCCAGACAAACCAAGGAACTGTGTCAGGATATGACAGAACTGAGAAGTCACCAAAGGAGGCTTAGGTTATGCTGAAAATTCCATCTGGGAATACATTTTAAATTTGATGATTAAACAAATGCTTCTTACCCCTAATTTCTATGATCTAATTCTCCCATGAAGGTAAGTTGTTCAAAGTAAAGAACACATCCCATAATAAACCTTTATCAACACTCTCATATACCCCATTTATGAAAGTAATAAAAGGAACTTATAAATGGTGAAAGGCTTGCTTGTGTATAATACAGTGAGGATACACAAACTCCCTAAATCAGTTGCAACTTTTGTTTGTTTTTTTTGTTTTTTTTTTTGAGACGGAGTTTCACTCTTGTTACCCAGGCTGGAGTGCAATGGCGCGATCTCGGCTCACCGCAACCTCCGCCTCCTGGGTTCAGGCAATTCTCCTGCCTCAGCCTCCTGAGTAGCTGGGATTACAGGCACGCGCCACCATGCCCAGCTAATTTTTTGTATTTTCAGTAGAGACGGGGTTTCACCATGTTGACCAGGATGGTCTCGATCTCTTGACCTCGTGATCCACCCGCCTCGGCCTCCCACAGTGCTGGGATTACAGGCGTGAGCCACCACGCCCGGCGCAACTTCTGTTGAAGATTTGTAGCAGGCAGGGTGTGATGGGTCTTGCCTGTAATCCCAACACTTGGGATGGCTAAGGCAGGAGGATTGCTTTAGGCCAGGAGTTCAAGACCAGCTTGGGCAACATAGCAAGACCTTGTCTCTACTAAAAATAAAAAATAAAAAAAAAATACAAAATACAAAAATTAGCTGGGCATGGTAGCCTGCATCTGTAGTTCTACCTACTCAGGAGGCTGAGACAGGAGGGTCACTTGAGTTTAGGAGTTAAAGGTTGCAGCGAGCTATGATCATGCACTCCAGCCTGGGTTACAGAGTGAGCCCCTGTCTCAAAAAAATAATAAAGAAAGAAAGAAAAAAGAAAAGAGTAAAAAAAATATTTATAGCAAACTAAAAAAAAATGAGATTTGGCACTTTGAGCCTGTGGAGAAGCCATAGGAAGGAAGACAGAGAAGAAAATTCTAGCGAAAACTGAACCAAACATTTATTTTTAAAATTTTCTACACATGGAGCTTTAGTCTGGAAACACCTATTAAACAAAACAATTTGGATAAAGTCACTCACCACGAAGTGAGGCAACTGTTGAATTAAACAACCAGGAAAACATTATTTGAGAGTAATAATGCAGACAAAATCAAAGCAATCACTGAGGAACTCTTGAAAGTCACCCATCAAAACTTAAAGAGACAAAGGGCAGCCATCTGCAGTGATACAACAGTGGAATTCATCATTTAGGAAAGCTTAATTATCAATTATTCATGTCTAGCACTTGCTAGCCCTATTTTCCAAGTGCATAATTTATGGAGAGGGGAGGTACCTAGCTGCCTTAAGTAGAAGCAGGCATCTCAAATAATTTAGGTCATTTACTGATGAACCTTAGTAAGATATATTTTTGTGTATATTAGGGATTATATATTTATCATACGCTAGGTAAAACTGGAAGAGTTAAAGATGTTACATGGATGGATGGCTTGTCCAAATCACAAATAAAGAAAGGGGAGAAGAGAGAGAGTCTGATGTCTGGAGCTGTCTAGGTTGACCTCAGGGTGGGACCACTGAGTTTCCAGTGTCTGTGAGAGCTCAGGAGAGGGATCTGGGGCAGTAAAATCCATGGATGATTGGCTTAGAGGTAGCCATGATTGAACCTAGCGAGAGAGAAGCACTAATGATTTGGGGGCTAAAGAGTTAAAGCAAGCAACAGGGTTCTATTAGAAATGCCTTTTTATGCCATAATATTAAAAGAAAATAAATGACCACAAAAGATGTGTAGGGCTAATTGTAGTTTTGCCTTGCATTAAAATCAAAAATAGTCTGGGCATGGTGACTCACACCTGTAATCCTAGCACTTTGGGAGGCCCAGGTGGAAGGATCACTTGAGCCCAGGAGCTCAAGACCAGCCTAGGCAACATGGTGAGGCTCTGTCTCTGTATATTAAAAAAAAAGAAAAGAGACCGGGCGCGGTGGCTCACGCCTATAATCCCAGCACTTTGGGAGTCCGAGGCGGGTGGATCACAAGGTCAGGAGTGCGAGACCATCCTGGTCAACATGGTGAAACCCCGTCTCTACTAAAAATACAAAACATTAGCTGGCATGGTGGCGCGTGCCTGTAATCCCAGCTACTCAGGAGGCTGAGGCAGGAGAATTGCCTGAACCCAGGAGGC